AGCTTTTCACAAAGTTCCCTGTCTGTACATTCAACTGCTGTATTCGGTGATTAATTTCATCTGCCACCAGAATCTCGTCATCGTTGAGGAATGTGACGTCGACTGGATTCTTTAATTGTCCATTCTTGTCTCCATAAGAACCAATTTTTCGCACAAAGTTTCCTTTCTCATCAAATACCAGGATACAGTGACCTTCATAATCAGCCACAGCAATAACACCTTTACTGTTCACTGCAATACCGGCAGGACCTTGCAGCATTTCTCCCTGAACGTCCAACTTGCCTATAACATTTAACTCTCGTGCTTTGACCAGAATAGAAAATGGACTCTTGGCAAGTTTCTGTCCATTTATCTTTACTTCCATTTTATAAGTACATGGTACTTTCGCTACAAATTTTGCTTGGAAATTTCCATCTTCTTTTTCACTCGTCACCAAGCTCCTCACCTGATCCGCAGGGTCTATGTGTATTTCAACACGATCTGTGTGCTGAGTGTTACTGACTTCTCCTTCGCTTGTTTTGGGACAAATCAGTAGCTCTGCTTCTACACCAGCTTGAAAATTGTGGTCCAGTCCTTCCACGGTCGATCCTTGTACATCTGTTTTGCTGAATTTCGTAAATCCTAGACTCAAACTCTCTGTTTCAAATGTCGACACAAACTCCACCCACGAGCTAACCGGAAGTACTGGCATTGTGGTCTCGATGAGGTCGTTGATTCGTTCTTCTACATTTTTCTTGTTTTGCATTATGTCTGAACTTGAGCTACTTTCAACCAGGTTGTTACTGAACTCAAATGCTTGGTCAAGTTGCTTTTCCAAAGAGACAACCGATGCTTTTCCAGAATGTAATTTCTCAATCCTTGACACGCGAGTCTTCTCTAGTGCAGTAATGGCTTCACGTTCTAGTTGGCGAAGCTTTCCCATCATCTGTTCGGTTGCTTGGGAAACTTGGCGTTTAGCTGTGGTAATGTTCGTTTCCAACTCATGTTCCGTGTTCTCAAATTCACGAATAACACCTCGGCAGACCTCCTTCATCTCTTTGACCAGCTTTGCTCTGGCAATGATGTTTGCTTTTTCATCGTCTGCTGCCTTTTCAAGCGGAACAACATCGTGGCTCTTGTGATCAGTGGCGATGCAAATCTGACACACGCAGCTTTGACAGCCCACACAGAAAAACTTTGTCACTTCTTTCTCGTGATACTTAACGGAGCAAAACGACTGCCGTTTCAACAACGCCTCGTAGTCTGTGGCTTGAAACTGTCGCACTGGTGTGACTTTGTGTCCTTGAAACAAAGTTTCTCGAAACACTTCGTGTGCTTTCACACAGTCTGGGCACATAAACTTCTCACAATCAAAGCAGTAGTTGATCTCAGCGCTCTTCTTCTGGCATGTACTACAGCTGATTTCATTTCCCTCGCCGCTGCGTCGAACGGCGAGAAGACTCAACAAACTGTTGTGCAGAAAACTGCTAGGTAGATTATCAAAACGCTTTCCTTCAGGGATGCGAATTTGTGCCTGACACTCGGGGCATCGATAAAACCCTTGTTTTTGGCTCGTTAGTGCATGTCTCTCCAGGCATTCACAGCAGAACGTATGAAGACAAGCAATGGTCTTGGGTTTGGTGTAAGTATCCAAACAAATCGAACATGTTGCATGCTTTTTGAGGTTTTTAAGAAGCGACTCCATCACGAATTGCTGAGTAAAACACAGCCCTGTTTTGTCTGAGATTCCGAGAAACTGAACTTGGATTAGCATTCTATTTAAAGCAGCGAATCAGGTAAGTCTCTGTAGGATCGCGTGATTGACAGTTTTGAATTACAATTTTGAATTACAATTTTATTCACCTGTTGTTTACTTTCTCTAGACCGAATGTGTCGCTGTAGCGACTGTATCACGAAATACACTACGCTGGGAACGTTTGTTAATATACCATTTAGCTCATTTTATCATCGCTACATTAACCGCCGTTTAGTGAGTTTGGGATCCCGAGAAACTTGTTTGATTCCACACGAAAATTATTAGAGAGGTTTTTTGGAAGTGACTCTATCACGAATTTCAGAGAGAAACAGACCCTGTTTTGTTTGGGATTTCGAGAAACTGAATTCTATTTAAAGCAGCGAATTACATCTCTTAAGAATCATGTGAGCTTCCTGCAGAGATTGACAGTTTTGCATTTTAATTTTTCTTCAACTATTGTCTACTTTCTCTATTACTGCGTGACCGAATGTGTCGCTCTGGCTACTGTGTCACGAAAACAACACGCTGCGAACGTTTGAAATTATACCATCCACCTCCTTTTATCATGGCTATATTTATCGCCGTTTAGTGCGTTGAGATTCCAAGAAACTTGTTTGACTCAGTATTTTATTAAAAAGCAGCCAGTCAGATCTCTTTAGTAGAAATCTCGTGCTCTCTCGAGCGGTATTTGATAGCTTCAGTTTTGGATTTCGATGTTTCTTAATTCTTTTAAAGGAAGCGTGATAGAGTAACAATGAGCAGATGTCTCGTTTTCATGTTCAGCCACGATTGGAAATTCAGTGAGATTGACGGAAAGGTCACTAAAATCTGCCTTCTTATGAGAAAGGAAACCAGCTCTCTAAGAGTTATAACTTATTTTGATTCGTTTGCGTATCGTATTTGGTTCGGATCATGGATAAGCCCCAACGTCAGAGACTCTGCGAACCTACCCCTCTCCTCACCCCAAAACAGTCAACGTATAATAAGTCCGGGTTAATTTTGAGTTGGGGGGGGGGGCGGGTAGGTGCACAGATGCTCAGAAAGCCAACCACTTGTTGCAGAAATAGGGTTAACTAAATGTAGGTGAAAGTTAAAAAAAAAAAGCTCGACTGCAATTCTTCTCTGCGATACTATTCAGTTTATCCTTGCGACCAAACAACTTTCAAACATCGGTCTTCCGGTTCAACAAATGCGAACAGAACGGGGGAAGGGGGGGGGGGGGGGGGGGGGGGGGGGGGGGGGGGGGGGGGGGGAATCATGGGTGAAAACTGAAAAAGAGACTCAATTGAAAGGAGATGGAGGAGTCACCTTACCTAAGCTCTTCTCTTTACAAGCGCTCGGCCCAACAGAGGGTGAACCTGGTGTGGTCTCGCATTTGGTCCAAGGCTGTTTAAATAAAGTGTATGCATCTAATAAGAGATTTTGCCTCCTAATGCTGTTGTTGTTTGGCATTTGAAAGTTTGAAAAAGATAATGCGTAAAATTCTAGATAAGTCCGTTCTACATAGAAGGTAGGTTAGTTACATTAAGCCGGTAACAGACATGGAAGCATGACAATGGTGGAAATAAAACTTTTTAGTGTGGCCTTCTTTTCTTGGTATCACAGTCCAGTTACTCTGAATGTAAATGGTAGGTTCCTTTAGCACTAGGCCCAGTCTCTGCCGAGGTTTTGCCGTTCGACACCACGTTAAACCACGCCACACATGTGTTCTCATCGCTTGATATTCTCGCCTTCATTTTTCGGATGAGGATCGTTTAACTAGACTTACATCGAAGAAAAAGAACCTTACGGAACCATTACGGATATTGTACCACTGTTCAAGGTTACGGAAAAGGACACTTGCTTGTTTGAAAGGATTTATCATACAGTATTGTATTCGAACAGTGTGCTGAGCGTAGTTGATCGGATCGAATAAAACGTGGTATTGACACTGAATTGACGACTGTTACACAAAATCTTTTTGACAACCCTGAGAAGGCATTTCTTGGCCATGGGTTGATACAAATTTATCTTCGATGTCGACAATATCTCTCTTTTGTGAGAGATATTATAAACTCGTATCCACCAGCGGACAAATGATGTTCTGTTTAGTCTAGATCTATAGTTACTGAATACGTATTTAAACGAAAAACAATTTTAAAACACATAAAAACATTGAGTACAGAGAACACCAGTAAATAATATCAGCTAATAGAAAAGCCACTTCAACCTCCCACTAAATGTAAAACAAGTTCTCATTCCAAACATACAGCAAAGGTAGGTATAAATAGTTTATTTACCTGCTTGTAGTTCTGACATTGCCCTAATAACTTTATGATATTTACACACGGATATAAAACACTGTATTGTCAAAAAGCGCATTTCAACTGAGTGTCCTACAACCCAATCCAAAGTGATCACAACTGCCAATCATCGAGCACTTTTCAATTCAGTATCGAAAAACCAAAATCAAGTTAATTACAACTTCCAATCAGAAAAAAGGTTACCATGATTATTAGCCAATGAGAACTCAGAGTAGAAACAGCCAACCTCCTTAAAGCGCGGGAAAACGCGACTAATCAGGTCGTGTTTGGTTTTAGTTTTACATTTGATTGATTAAGATTGTGGCGCGAGTTTTCTGGACCAATCACACAACGAAGTAAAGCAAAACCAAAGCAATACAACATCACTTTCGATACTCAGTTGGAAACTGCTCTAACAAAGGGAATATAACAAAAGGCCAGAGATAACTCTACAAATGGCCCAACTCCAACACTTGATCTTGTTTAGGCTCGTGCCTGATTGGTCAAGAGGACAGCATAGGCTTTCTAAACCAATAACAGACTACAGTCAAGTTAAACCAATGCCCACGACTATATCCATGACCACTTTCGACACTCAATTGAAAATTTCTTTCATAGTTTACAATATTATCATATAAAGACTAGTCTTAAAATAATTCTGAACATGTCTAATGATTAGGTCTCTAGATTCTGTTGCTGTATTGCGCTACTCGTTAGGTCTGATCTGTAAAGTGATTTTCTGTTGGTTATCCAGGCATTCTCGTAGTTTATTCTCAGTCATCGTTAGCCTTTGTTCCAAAATTGAAACCGTCTGCAAGAAAAAGTGGCTCAATGAATATGTCAATGTCTCCCCTACACAGAAATATGTTTTTAAAAAATCAAGTATCATTGCATACAAGCGAAAGCTAATACATCTCCATGTTGCACAAAAGTTTGCCTCGTAACTGTACAAGAAAAAAAATTATACGAGACTATTCATGACCTTTTCCCCGAAGGCGGTTATGGACTTGACAGCCAATCGCTGTTGTAGAAATGAGCTCAATCTTGCGATCAGGTAGTCCTTTTTCAAGGGAAAGGGTAGAGTAGATCTTGCAATCAGGAAGTCCATTTTAAGAGGGAGAATAGAGAGAGAACGATTGTAGTGCTTTCCCACAAAAAATTCCTGATTCAGAATAAAAGAGACCATGCTTCTGAAAGGCTGGTAGAAGGAAATAGCAAAAATTGACTACAGTATGGAAGCCACGCCCCTCGTTTCAAAGTCTCTTGTCTTGTTTAAGGAAGGATGTTTTAAAATAGACATTGATTCGAAATTGATATGTGTCAGCTTTTCATCAGGCCACACCCTTTTGCTCCTTTCCCCCTGACATGGTCCCCCTTCAACCCTTGGTATACTCCCCAATGCGTGATGGGGTCATTAACAGATGTGCATCCCCACCCCACACCCAAGGCTCTTGGTTTCTACAAATAATTCCCTGTTCAGATATGTTTCCACGACCAACCTGTGTTAGCACATCCAGCTGTCCCACAATGTGCTCCAGTGTCATGCTCAGTTGTGGAGGAATATCTCTTCTTTCTAGGGGTGTGGTGAGGGGAGGCTGTGTAGCTGGAATGCCTCCCAAACCATCAGCCTCCCCAGTCCTCCCTGTTACTTCATCTAATTTGCTCTGTCTCTGAACAATGAAAATTTGCAAGAAAACATCTTGATTAACTTTGCTCTTAAACTGAACCACGTCAGGCGGAAGGGGATCTCCTGAACATCACATCTTAGTTTTCAACTAATGCAATCTGGCAAAGTCAAAGTAAAATCCTAAATGGCCTACTTCATCCAAAAAGAGATTTTAGTACAAAAAAACCAGAATATTTATCTATTGCTCGCTTTTTCCTTGCAGCTTGCGCCGTTTCCGTGTGACACAAACCACTCATGCGCAATTTCTTCCCCTTACTATATCCTCCTCTTACAAACTTAGGAAGGCTAATTGAAAGGTAGACGCTATATTTTTACCTTCTCAAACGGAAAGTAATGGAAGCAGCGCATTCAGGGAGATTCAGTTTGGGAAAGGGAAAATCATTGAAAAATCTAACTAAGGGAGTAATCGTTATTTATCGATGTGGGCTCCAGAGGAAAAAGTGTTAAAAGCGTACCTGAGGAATTGAAAACATGGCGGGTCCCACTTCAACCACTTCTGGGTCACCAACAGCGAGATTCCTGGGCTCTGCTCCAGCTCTGACCTGTAAAATGAAACAAATAAATTCAGGTATTTCCCACCTTCGCGGGTGTCTTTCGGGAAAAAAGTCCTACGCGCGCTAGTTTCACGAAAATCTTAGCAAACTATACATCAGAAGAAAGCTTTATAACTGCAGTATACGATAAAAATATAATTTAAGTGACTTTTCTTTTAAAGAAGTGCCAGAAGCCGGTAACACGTGAAACGACCGAAGGTTCTTCTATGGAATTCATCTGGTACTGGATGCCGCAGCATAAGCAAAATAGCTGCACAGTTTCATTCACAAGGCATTAATCAACATAAAAGTGTCAGACTTTTTCGATATTCTGATTGGTTGTCTAGATATCGGTATCTAAAGTTGAAGTAGCTAAAACTATGCCAGGCGTGTTGCGTAAATGGACGCCATGGAACAAATATTTCAAATACTAAAATTTTCGTTTGTCATTATTCCTAGAATGGTTTGGCGAAATTTGACGAAAATCGGTCAAATCTATAGACCCTATAAATTCGCTCAAAGTGGTTGCATTCCTCCCAAATTCAAATGCGAGATTTTAGTTCATAAAGGTTTGCAAACAACTCGCGCCACGCTCGGAGATTACCTCGCCTCCTAAAACCGATGTAAACAAAATATGGAAATATCATCGAGCCTCAACATGAGCGGTTGCCGCGAGAATTCCACCAGGGGATTCGCCCAGGTTCGAGATTATAACACCTTCCTGATTTATTAACTTTTATTTGAAAATACGTTTTTCTAAATAACTC